ACCAAGCAGTTCGGTATAGATTTAATTCAACAATTTTAAGGATGGTTTGTCTGTTTCACCTAGACTCTCTTTAACAAGGAAACATTCAGTTTCTTCTGAGATCACTAAATATACAATATCTTAATATAATTATCACCAGAAGATTTCTGTTTGTTTTCATCACTAATAACTAACAATTGGATTCAGCTAGCGATTTGTTTTACAACACACTAATTAGTTTAAACTCCCTCTGGTATTAACAACAACGAGTAATGTATACCCCACTGTTTGTCTAATAACGAATCAAGAGTGATGATGTTTTTCTCTGAAGATTAATCGCCGGAATATAATAGGATCAAATAATTCTTCAACTTTCAAATTTGTCAGTTTCATTTAAAGACATTCAACTTTAGGTCACAAAATATAGAAGTTAAAGGCGCAATGTTGCAGAGGGTTTAATTAGATTTTAAAATAATCAGTGCTATTATTAAAGACCCCATCCACAACCCCACCCCCAACCTCCTCCGCCCCAAAAAGGAGGTAAGATATCACATGGACCCCGATGTTCGCGGATACAGTTATCGTGCAGATCGATATTCCGGAAGACTATCTGATATTCGGTATGAATTAAAAATAAATCAAGAATTGTCGGATATTCTGGATTATTGCGCCTTTAATAATAATAAATATGTACGTGTATATTGCGGCTAGAGCGTAATCATATTAAACTGAATTTCTCGATGGAGATTTATCACATAAAATGGAGTTTTTATTTCAAGTTTTTTTTTTTAACATCAATGTTGTTGCATTGCTCATATTTGCGAGTGAAAAAGCAGGTCTGTTGATTCGTAACCATGATTTGAAAATTCCGGAAGTGACGCAAAAATAGGAAATTGGTGTTATTGTTACTGACTGAAATACTGCATAGAAACGCGGGGAAAAGAAGTCTGTGTATAACCAAGTTTTAAGAATTTTGTGCTTCCATTGTAAACGATATTTATGGTTTGTTGCGGTATAAATACTATTACCGGTATCCTTCTTTATATAAATAACCATAAACAGCTACTGTCTCCGCTACATGGATTATAGATCGTAATATTTTTTCAGCTAAAAAATTATTTTTCTATATAAAATTCGTGGGTATCTGTGAAAATCTTTAGCTCACGTAACTTCTTAACGAATAGACAAGTTATAGGGGCGATACAAGTCAAAATTTCAATCACCGCTGGAAATAAAATGGGGTTTAACGTCCTACGTTTCTGCTCCACTCAGGCTAATGAAGACGGACATACGTCATGCAGTGTGATATGAGAGGAAATTTTGTCCGGACAGCGGCGCTGCGGCCTACTCTTCTTTCAAATTGCAACTGTCGGGGGTTCTTTTCCGTACACGTCAATGTGTACACGGGAGCTTGGTGTTTCGTTCCATCCTAATGACTATACGTTGTCCCTTGCCAGGCCCTTCGTTTTATACCACTTACAAGGGGGAAGCAAGCCGTTAAAGTTATCCCATTCGTTCCTATATGCATTTACAAAATACAAAATACCCCCCCCCCCCACACACACACCACCACCACCACACACAAAAAAAACCATAACAATGAGACATATAAGAAACAAAAAGAAAAGAAGATAAAAAAAGAGTATAATTTGACACTATGCACAAATTTAACAAAAGGCCCTTTTCAGTGAACAAATTCAAATATAGATGTTATATATGCATAAGAATAAAGTAACTTCGCCAAAATTTTCAATATATTCATTTTTCATTTTCTATTTTTAAACTATTATAGGAAGAACGGTAAGCTATCTATTTAAATCTTACATAATGCATAATAATGTAAATTACCTAAAACCTACCTTGAAAAGTAAAACAATAAACAACAGGCTACTTCAAAATTAAAAAAAAAAAAAAAAATCGCGTGAAATACAATAGATGGAAACAGATGTATGCAATAAACAATGGAAATGATGAACTGATTATATTAAACAATAACCATAAAGACTACATATAATAAATCTAGTCTATATGATCAGGATTATATAAAAAAAAATTCTTTGTCAAAAATGCTAAAATTTTGTAAATTGAAACCTTGTATTCTACAGATATGAGCACTGCTGTGGGTTTAAAAATGCATAATTTTATATATAAAAAAATTGGTTTGCTGCTGCATACGCATTTTCATCCTTAGCCGTATTTAACGTCTCAAATCTCAAAAATGAGAGATAAAATTTAGGAAGCGATTTTCCTTTATCCAGGTAAACTATTAAATGCTGTATAGAAACGATGGATGTTCTACTCGGAAGTGCTATTTGATATATCCTGATTCAATTTGGCAAAAAACGATCAAATGAAAATTAATGTTATAGTTTTTCCCGAGTGAAAATGTTCGTCTTGACAGGAGATCGCGTGCGTTGTACAGGATGAGCACGTGACATCAGAATTAAATCTGTGATTGATTTGCATGATGCACGTGTCAATATTCTATAACGCAGGTAAATCACGTGACACAGATACGTAATCAGGTAGATTTGATATTTTGATGGTGAATATTTGACTAGGTTGTCTCAATCAGATTACATTGATATCAAATAACAAACTCTAAATATACGTACTCTCCCAGTCGTGTGGTTGGAAAATTCAATTTTGAATTGATGTCTGGGATCTACGAATTCGGCTCCTTATTCAATCTGATTAAAACACAGATCCAAGTTCGTTTCGTTTTTATAGTTCAAAATTTCGATTTTACTTGTCTTTAAGTGTAGGCCATCGAAAGTATAAAAAACGAAACGAAATATAGATCTATATTTTAATTAGATTGCTCCTTATTTTAAATATTGAAGCCCTTGTCAAACGGCACAGAGAGTAGTTGCACACCCAGCATTGGGTAGTCAAAAGTAACTCATCGTTATAACATCTTCTGTAGATCTGACTTTTGTAAATTAATGATATTATTTTGGAAACACAACGTATGTTTTCTCTCAAATTTTGCTGCTGATGATTTCATTTATTTCCACACTTTCCCTTGTCACGGGTGAATGTCCGAGGGCCTGGCCAGAAAGGACGTCTACTCGTTCGGATGGAACAAAAACGAAATCCTAACCTAACCTACCAAGTCCCTATATACTAGACAAAGGTATCTGCCCCCACCCCGCAAAACAATTTAAAAATTACCACCTTATTCTCAAAATATTGTGTTCATGAGACAATCTACCAAACAAACATTTCTGATCATAAATAAAAACAAGATAATAGTGGGGAATTCAGTATCTATATAAAATTAAGAATTTATTTTCATTTAAAGAATTATTAATGGAATAATACTATTACTGTCATATTATTATTTACCATTCACGGACTTTTGATATAATTATTATTACCTTCAGCGTCTTAAATTTATTCCCCTTTCCACCGATTAGCAGCAGTAAGAATTGACATATGCGTACATTTCTAGAACACCGGATGCCACTTTTAATTTGGTCATTAACCTAAGTGATAGACCACGAATAGCACAACTCAACATAGGACACTATTACTGAGCGACATTTCAACATTTCTTAATAAAAAGGACTAGAAAAGCCTAGCCTCAAAGTTTCTCAGTAAATAAAAGTCAGTTGTATTCTATACAATTGTGCAATGTGTATTTCCATTTCATTTAATAAATGTATTAGAAACAATTCAGTGATCTACAGCGATTAATAACATCTATAAAGTATTGCAAAAATATGAAATCATGTCTGTGTGACCTTTATTCTCTATTGAGTGCCATTTTTGAATTACAAGATTTTTGCACTGAGTATGTTATGGTGCTTTTCTTTTCGAAAAGTTGTACGATTATAAAATAAAATGATCAAAAATAAAAAAAATCATTTTTGCTGCATCATTTTTTAAGCGCTTGTAAGTTTATTAACCATTGGATATTATGTTTGTTAATCGCTTTTGAGATAATGTTTTTAATTACTAACGGGATTATCTATAAATTGTAAGTAAAATGTCTCCATAATGTAACAGCAAACAGAGTAACAAGAAGATACATTACTAACTTTATTGTCGCCAAGTCATCGCTATCTAAAACAAAATAAATTGACCAATTTCATCCCACTCATTAACAAACCGATAAAAATTCTCCCCGTTTTAAAGTTTGGTGTCTGATTTCGAATTAGCCGCTAACACCATTGAATTAAAATTCTTGACATTGAAATATGGTTTGTCGGCCCTTCTGTCACGGTGACAATTATCTCTCTCCCCAGGGGCTGGCAGCGAGAAATTGAGGGCGGGCTTCTCTAACTAAATTTGAAAACATTTATCGCTCTAAGAAGAAAGATTAGTGAATAAGGTAGCTGGACCCGAGACTCTTTTTGGTTTAAGGCCCCACGGGGATGATTCTTCTCTCGATATTCAATACTCCTGTGTTACCGATAACCCTATTTATGTGCCATATGATACCGGACCCCCTGGGGCTAGAACTCTATTGGTCGTCTCTCTACTTTAACCGGGAGTGTAATTTTCACCCCAGGATAGAAACGGATATAATTTGGAACGTCCAAAAGTCGAAAAATAAAAATCCGAAACGAAATCTGTGGTTAAAATAATGACAACACAGATCGGGTTTTGGAGCCGGTTTTGATAGTTAATATTACCCTTGCTGAGATCTAAACAATTCAATTTGAGCCTCTATGCGACTTTTTATTATTACTCCTACAGTTTCAAATCCCTACCTTAACAAGACTCGCCACAACTTCAATAGCCACTACAGATATTATTTATCCCCATAAAGCTATTAAAATCTATCATAAACTAAGGGGCTCTATAGAAGTTATAAGCACTAATAATTATTACTATATAATAATACACACGCCACAGGTAACATCAAACACACCTCACAGATCCTCTCCTGCACGCCAATCATTGCTCGTCTACTCATCACGTGATCACAGTGGGACGTCCCCATTGCTGCCTTTACGTTAAAGGTATGATACGGTGATTAAACTCTCATTTTCTCTCGACATTTATTCAAGAAACATAACTTTCACTTTCAAGCATCACCAACCATCTTTGAATATTTTTGATTGATGAAAACACTTGGTTTTATATGTATTGCTTTGAAATATTTTAACGAATATTCACTGACGTCATCATGTTTCCGGCACTTCATCTCAGGTATGTCAAAATTTTAATTCTTTTTCTATTTCCTTTTTTTTAAAATACATATTTTAAAACATATTTTGTCAATATTGGATTAAAAAATGACTAAATTATAGCATTTAGTGATGGCTTGTATATTTTTGTCTCTGAAATTCTTGGTTTATATTCCATTTGAAATCCTCTACGATTAAGGCTGTAGTTCAATTTTTGTATTCAATTCAAATTATGCTAATAATTGATTTGGATAATACAGAAGAGGGATATTTACTAATAATTTGTTCAAAAATTGCGAATATTACCTTTTTAAGAAATAACACGAATAAACAATTTCAGTCTAATTTGTTTTCCTTTTTAACTCCCAACTTCCACAAAGAGAACAAAGTCGCATTAAAAAGAATTTGTTCCATTTAAACAAGAAGAAGAAAAAACCCCCCAAAAAACCAGAGATAATCGTCCATACTTTTCTTTCTCAAAAACTTTTCACGGTTTGATTTTAGAGTGATTTTAAATGGCCATTGTGGATTAAAACAGAACTACAGCTAAGAATTTCCAAATTTATCTCTTTTTAGTATGAATAATGTTCGTTTAAAGATTTTATAAAATTAATTCACAATATTTCTTAGATATGGGTGAAAATGAAAGGGTTGGTGCTAATAAATTTGATTTGTTTTGCATTTGGTCATTGTACATTTTGTTATTTAAACTCATTCAAATAAATAAGCTCGAATTTTTTAATATCATTTTTCATATTGGGATAATTAAAATTTTAAACTAAAGCTCAATAATTCCATAATCCGTGATAAATATGTTTAAAGATTATTAACTTTCAACAGCGGCGTATACTTAGACACGCCATCTAAAATTTTAAGAATATCACAATAATAACCTATAACACATACTTATGGACGAATATTTACTAATTTATTCTGGCGAAGAATCGAAGGATGTTCTACCATTAGTATTTCTCTTTAAACAATATTTTTATTTAAGATATGTGCATGTGATTGGGAACAGACTTAGTTAATAGGAAACTCTCTCCCTGTCCCTTGTATGTGTTACAGATTATTTCTCTATAGAGTTACTTGGTTAAAAATGAGTTAAAACAAAGAATTTATTTTAGGGCCATCATATTCATTTTTTTCTTGTCACTGACCAATTTTTGATCAATGAAAAAAAATGTGTAAAATGAAAAGTCATAAGATGTCTTTAGAAAATACAAATCAATCATTCATATTTTAAATAATTAGCTTTTTAAGGAATTAGTTATCAGTGTTTATTTCTGTTAAATTTATTATCCGGTGAAATCGTGAAATCTGATTTTTGGATTAAACCCAATCTAATTTTATTGAAACCGGTAACTAACCACAAATGGGCTATATTTATGTTATATTTTATGTAGTATTGTGTGGTGTTATCTAAGAGGGGGTTGTCTATGTAAACTATGCTATTATCGTAAAATTAAATGTCCGTCCTTCCTATCTGTCCGTCTGTCTGTCCTACTGTGTAATGACCGCTTACTTAGTTTTATACAACTATTAAAAATGCCATCATTGAATCGACTCTCTTTAAAGTAATATTTTTGTAAAAATATAGAAGGTAAGTTGTAACTGGATCTATTTAGATGATCGTAATTTTACTGACATAAAGAAGAATATATCATGATAATGCCGATGTGGACCTCTACACTATTTTACATATTACATATTTTACAATTACGGTCCTTCTAAAAGTGAATACCTGTGTTAAACTATTGAAACAGCGTCTTTAAATATTATATTATTTAAATGAACTGAATTTTGAAATTTTACAATAAATAGATAATTTCATATATAACAAGTGTCCCAACTAACAATATATTATCATACCGTGGGATATTAAAGCCCCGACCAACATGTCAGAAATAAAGGTGAAACATAATGCACAACTAAGATTATTCATTAAACATCCTTTGAATCCAAAAGTTATTCAGACCAAGCAAGATTACATTAGTTTTGTGCGATTTCACACGGTCATCTTTATTTGTCTGAGACAAATACAGTAATAATAATTCGGCAATATATATATTTCTTCCAAGCCAGCCCATTTTTATACTTGGCTGTGTTTTGTTGCCTAAAAACGATTTTTAACGTTTGAGATATATGTCAACGATGCACCATAACAGTTCGGCTATGAGAACCCTCAGATTCTGAAGTGCTATGAAGTGTTATAAGCATACCCTATAAACTACATAAAAACGGTTGATGTCGTGTACGATACAGGGTATGCGTTTTCTTCTTGTTACAGGATTTCACATGTCTAACAAAATATTTGTTATGTTTTTGTTTTGTTTCTGGCGCAATAGAGAATATCATGCTTATAATCAGATAAATCTTAATTAATATGGTCCGAATATTTTAAAGAAAAATGATCTACGGAAAAACAAAATGGAGGTTTCTCTGTCATAAAAATGGCACAGGTAATGAGACCGGTAACTAACCACATGGGATAAATTATCATTTATGTGTATAATTAAAAACTCGTCCGAAAGGTCACATTTTTAAGATGCGTGAGTGAAGCGGGATGAGAACACAGTCATTCAGTAGCTTCCTGTGAGGTATTTTTCTAGAACATATTTTTGTGACAGCTTAAACAATTACGGGGTGAGTTGTTTTCCTCCAAAACTATGCAAGCATCGCAACATTATAAATCATTGAAATGCTCATGACACCATAAAACGTCTAGTTTAACAGGTTGCCATGTAATCCTGTATGCTGGACTTTTTTATTATGATTTTGTGGTAATGCAGACCTACACCCAAAACTCTCCAAATCCACCTGAACTGCAAACAACATTTTTTTTTTGATTCGTTACACATTAAGTGGATAGACAGTTCTGTCTATTCTGAAGCAATAGTTACGAGCGTTATGAACTCATTGACTATTGCAAATCGGGTTTCTTGTTCGTTAGTCTGGTTCCTAATTCGACATAAATATCAACGCACAAATATACTTTTTTCTAGAAATTGTACCCGCGGTTATAGCTCGGAATCTATATAGCGACATGGGGATTCCTGTTCGTAGTGGGGTTATATATTTTAGCATTTAACAGTTTCTATAATAATGGCTTGTCTAGAACGAGTTTCGTTTCGTGTGATTTTCAAAGCTGTTTTTGACTAACCAACAATTCATATTTTAGCAAGTCCAATACGGTCAAATTAGGCGTCATTAACTCTTTAGCTGTCGCTACTCCATGATTAACCCTCTCTCGCCTACAGTAAACAATCAAATCTAATTTAGTCGACTTATTGTTCATCTTCCAATTGTCAACGAAACGGATACTAACTCGAAATTACCTTCTCTAACGAAAACAATTGCCAACGACGTGAAAACAAAATGTTCCTTAAAAAAAGAAGAGCATTTATCTTCCTCACAATGACGTCAATAACAAGACGCGTGCTGTTCGACATCATCAGGTGTCATCCCGCAGTGCGACGAATGGTTTGATTTAAATTAACCAATAGAATTAGTTAAAATTCATTAGTGCTGAATAATCAATGGCTGTCACTATTTGTTGTGCGAAAGTTACTAAGGTGTATCTCCCCCGTGTGTTAATCGAGTTAGCTAATTCATCGTAAAGGCGTTTTTTTCTCCCCTATAGTCAATTAATGCAAACACGAATAAATCTATTAAAATTTATTTTACCGTTAAGTTTATTTAATTTAAATTAACGAAGCTAAAATTTAATGCGATTATGCTTATGTTATTGTAATAATTCTGCACATGGTTTTTAAAGTCAACTAAGAGAGAAAAACATACTTTAAACAGCACGTACAAATACGTTTTTGTGATAAAGTAGACATCTATATCAAAGGAGATAAATCGCTATTCTTTGGCGCTTAGCAATGGAAACAAATGGATCGCAACGCATATAATAATGTTATATGAATGTATATAAACTGATTTATATTCAAATCGTTTCTGTTTTTACTGTAATTTGGAATCAGTTATGTTCGGCCAAATACGTCTGGTTATTATAGTCTACACTGGTAGTATTCCGATACCCGATTCGTGTGCCAGTTTTAAAATTTTCATTTTGTCTTAAATATTGGATGTCAGAATCCCAACATTTTACGGTAAGATAAAAACATCAATGTCGATTTAAACTATCCAATGCCGAAGACTATGAATGATAGTTGGGTTAAAGACTTGGCTTCTTTAAACTAAAGCCAGAAAGAACCATACACTTGAAATGATAACAGATTATTTTACTTTATACTTACGATATACATACTTAAATAGAGTGATGCCATTTCAAATACAAAATATAACTTAAATTTTTACCTTTTTTCATTTTAAAAATTATTTTTAAAATAAAAATCCCCTAGTTAACGGTTCCTCAAAAAAGATCATGTATTATTTCTATTCAGTGGATCCTCATGTAATACAGCATTAAACAACCGTTTCAACTTGATATTGTAAGTTTATTTGCTGTGACCACCAGTATCATCATAATTATTATTTGATATTTTGGTGCAATTAAAGTAATGATTAACACGGTAAAAGGGATGTTAACACATTATCTTAACCACGCAAATGTCATTGCATTTTATCTTTTAAATCTGATATCCAGCAGAATGAAAAAAATCAACTATCATGAAAGGAAATCCTATAAATTGAGTGTATTGCTGTGATAACTACCGTCTCTGTTTTTGTAAAATAATAAAACTATGAGATAAAATAGATTGTGAAATATCCAGACTCAAAATCTGAAAATGATGGAAATTTCCTGTCGTTACGTTTATGATTGAAAAAAGAAATCACTTTATTAATAAAACTGGGAACAAATTGGCGGAAGGAAATATTCCTTTACTTCATTCTTATATTATTTATACATTGATTAATCTACACAAAATATAGACGGGCGCCATTTTACCTGATATTATTTCATCTATAATCGAGGCTATTATATCATCTTTTTGAAACACCGTCCGTAGATGGGTTTTTAATTTATAGCGCGAAAGGACCGCACGTTCAGCGCGTGTTCTATGCATATCACGTGCTCATGCGCGTGAAACGTCTCGCTGTATGACGTCTAATTTTCGTAGGAATTACCGTTTAACCATCATGGGTAATTAAGTTTCGTGAAAATTATTAGCCAATTCTAGGTTTTATGGTGCATCAGCTACTTTTTTTTTACCTGGGAGAATTATGTCAAGATGGAACCAATCAATGAATCTGTCTGATTGTTTTCGCGCGTAAAGCTCCATACGCGCAACACTATCTCGTTAATTGAGACCATTAAGGCAATTATCGTCATCAGCAGTAAGTGAGACGGATTAGGAAGCGGTTCTTAGGCTAGGCGTGAGGATATTAATCCCGATGTTGTCGACAGTTTCTCGTCCCTCGATAGAAATAATTACACTCGAGATGTAACCACTACTGACAACCGATTGATAACACAATAAAAAAATCTTTATCGTAGCATTTAGCAATCAAATTGTTTGGTTGTCTGCAGATAAAGAAAGACCACACCAAGCGAGAATCGACGTTGCTAATTTCAGAGTTTTATTACAGACATTTTTCAATCAATTGCCAGACTGTAACCAAGCTCTTGTCATCGTGTTTATGTCTATATATAAAAACACTTGACAAAAGAACTTGTAATCAAATCATATTTGTGTGGATTAAAGTATAACTATAGCAATTTTCCAAATAAATAAGAAGATGTATTTGGCACTTGGATCTTTTTACCACTTCTCCCCGGTGCTTTTATGGTTCCGATAGACTTGATAGTCATGATTCAAGACTCCTAACCAATAACGTTCTAGGGTTAGGATTAGAGGAAGATGTGTCTGGTGTAAAGTGCACATTTTGGACAATTTGGGCCAGTTTACCGATTTCCCACTTCTCCTCGGTACTCTACTGGTTCCGATAGAACTTGATGATCAAGATCCAAGACTCTCAACCAATAAAGTCATGGGGTTAAACATACATATACAAAAGCTAAATCTGCCTATTGCAGGTCTTTCTTTACGCCCGAAATGTTATCTAAATTATTAATTAGACATTAATTAACTTAGCCAGACCATAATTAACTCTCGATGCCATCGTTAGCCTGCGATATTGAGCAGATTAGAATACATTTTGTGAAGGATGATTAAACGTAAAAGTGGATAATCGAGACTTTGTTTTTTAAGACTTTAGTCGAGACTTTAGTTGATGATCGAGGCTAGCCTAAAATTCAAAAGCTAATATCTCAGTTCAGAGTGGAGCAATTGGACTGAAAATATCAGCATATTCTATTTACCCATAATGCCCCTTTAACTTTTGACTAAGATAGTCAAAGTCCTCAGAGGACATTTCAAACAAAACGTTCCAGAAGTACACGGAATTCCAAAGTAACCGTTACTACATGATCGTGAAGCAAGTTGCTTGAAATCGATATTCAAACTATCGCTCAAACAACGTAATGTTCAATTACTAAATGCCTATCAAAGAAGTTAAACGTATGGTTACTCTCTCTAGAACACTCTATACCACTTTTGAGTTAGGACTGTTGTACTTTTGAATGATTAACATGTTTCAATATGAACGTGATATTATTACTTAAACATTGCTTCTTATTCAGTTGAAGGGGACCAGTGAAAGTTTGTGGAATAGTTTCTTATTAATAGCGTTTGAAAATTCAAATAAGGATCAAACCTATATGACTAAATTTGTCGAAAGCTGTTCTTTTTTTTGATAAATGCTCGTCGTTTTCCTTTGTTTAAAAATGTCAGATATTTCACCCACCATTGGTAAAATAAGATGATAAGTTAATGAGAAAACCTAAAAGAAAAATATTTTCCCAGGTTTATAATATGACAAGTAACAAGGAGAAAGTAAAATGAGTTGACTTCAGTAATTAAGAGTTTTAAGGCAGTGTGTTGTTATAACTATGATTAAGCAGCTAACCTATTACCAATATCACAAAACAAGATTGACACATAGCAACTTGTTCTTCTCTGGAAGGGCCAACTTTTCCTTCCTTGTATTGAAGATTTTGACAGTAGCCGCATTCTTGTGATATTAATCTTGGTATCGGTTGACGCGGATTCTGAACGACTTCAAGCTTACAACAATAAACATCTTTTAAAGTCCTATATCTCATCTTTCGCTCCCTCAATTTTACTGATAAAATTACCCCCGAAATCCCCCACTAGCCGCCTGTCACTCACTGCGAGAGAGCAACACGAAACATTTAAGTGCCTATTGAAAGGGACAATAGATTGGGTACAATAACGGCTGATTTTGCCATTTAGAATGAATCGTCAAGCTGTAATAGGATAGTGTTGGGAGGTTAAGTGAGAAATTGAGCATTAAGAAATGATTAGGGTGTTAGTTAAGGACATTACAATAGTATGTTTACTGTCGGTATTCACCTCTCTATTGCATCCTTCCACTAGATTAATTTTGATGGACTTCCTACAAGGCAAATAAAATTCGGACCCCTTTATCCTTTACCGCAAACCTAACTTTCTTAAACCGCTGTATATTTAAATCTACCCCATTAATAATGTTGTTTTTCTTTTCTTTCTTCAGTGCTACCGGCTTGTGTGATCGTAACACCTCGAGGCTTTCTGTTGAATCGGATAGAAGTTTTTCCCAAACCGCTCTTCAATCGTCACCACCTAGTCACCCATCGCGAGAAATGAGAGCCACGATGACCAGCGTTTCATTTGGAGCAATCGGTGCCAATCCCATTCACCCATTTCCTGGTATTCCATTCTGTGCTCCGAATTTAGGTGGGTCAAATGGGTTAAACCTGACGTCTCCATTGTTCCAATATCCTGCCAGTCTTTATGCTAGCCAAGCTGCCGACTTGAAGCAGATCAGTCTCACTCAGTACCAAGCTATGAATCAAGCTACAATTGCGGCTGAAATATCAAAGATGAAGTCTCCTTTTATTAACAGAAATTATCTTGAACTAGCCATGTTGGTCTGCAATACATTCCGCGGCAAACTTTTCCCGTGTTCTCATTGCCGGTACGTCACAGACAGGCGTAACAATTTGAAAAGACACATTTCTACGATGCACCAAGCATGTGATAAGGTATTGGAATGTTGCGGGGTTAAGTTCAGTACCAAAGCATCATTGAGAGAGCATATCATGATTTTTCACCATAATGGTTATTCCTGTCCATTCTGTGGTAGACGATTCTGTCGCAAGGCTCTTCTGAAGCGCCATCTGTCGGTTCATAGTGGCCAGAAGGATTATACCTGCCCACACTGTGACTACGCTACAAGCCATAAAAGCAATTTGGAGCGACACAAGAGAATACACGAAAGAATTAGATTAGGAGAAGATCTGGACATCCCGGAAGGATCGTATGAAGGACTGCGGAAATCACCAATAACTGTTGATACAATGCCTGACACGACCATGACAAGCGGAAATGACGACAAAGATGACTTTATTGACATGGATGAAAACGATTCTGATGATGATATCGATGATGACGCTTTCATTGCTAAGCACCACCCCACTGCGTTAGCACCACCAAAAAACACACCAAAAGAACATGCAAGAGTAGAAACAATTACGTCAAGTACAGTAATCAGCGAGGATGAGAGCTCAGAGGCCAAGTCTTCTGAAAATTGAATTCAGCAACCATAGACTAGTCAAAAATATATGCAAATCAAAATCTCAAATCAAAACATAAAAAATAGACTATACAGTAATGTCTGTTCCCACGAAAACCATCTTAAAGCTTATCGAATGTTAAGAAAATGAAAATTCTATAAATGATGAGTTTTAACATTGTATATCTGATCTATTTCCTCCATAATCAGTTTCTAATGATATTATGTAATTCAGTTCCACAACCACCTGTGTCATTTCTGTATCTCCCATTGAAATGTTACATTCCCGTTTCATTTTCCTTATAATCAAGAGTGCCATTCCACAATTTAAATACTCGGTGATGCATTCCTCAATGGTATTAGTTGTTTATATTTTTAGTCCCAGAATTTTACCAAAGGGTGTTTGACTAGCTACACAAATTAGTTTAGTTATTGAATGTCACAAAAATGATAATAGACTATAAAAAAAATCTTATAAATATTAAAACTTTGAATTAAGGTCAGATCACAAATTATATAGTTTGGTATTTCATTTATTAAATCGAGAAAGTCTGTGCTCAGATAAAGAACATTCAAGTTTAACTGAGATGTAAACTCTTTTACGCAAATGTCTTTGAATTTTAGCTTATGCTAAATCAGTTAAAGATGCATTATGTAAGATTTAGATAAAGAGCTGGTCGTTCTGGCTGTAATAGTCATAATATGGATAATGCAAAATAAATATATTGAAAATTTCATTCAAATCACTGTATTCCGGGCGAAGTTATCAATGTTTGAAGTTTTCAGTAAATGTGCACTTTATCCAGATTTAAAAACTTTATTGGATGAATTAATGAAATATACCCTATAAGTGTTATGTTAAATGTGTTAAAGCATAATGTTTTAAAAACCCAAGCAACTATTTGAAATGTATTTTATAAATATGCATTTCATCCAGATTTTAAATTTTTATTGGGTTAATGAAATAGTCTATAAGTGTAGATAATTGTATATAAATATATAAAATATAGATATTTAAGGTTATATATTATGAGCTAGTTAATCAATCATTGAAAATGATATGCACTTGTCTCTTTAATAGTTATTTATTGAATATATCCATACTTGTAATTATAAATTAATACTACGGATTGCAAATTGTGAATAAATTATTACAACTTTATTGGATTAATTTGTGTTAACGCCTTGTATTATTTTCACAATATTTCGGTAATTCCAAAGTCTAAGAATTTGGGTTGTAGCCTACAGATACTTCTGTTTTATATGTGGCCATATACTGTAGTTTGAGCAGCAGATGACACAAATACAGCGTCATGAAATAAAAGTTGGCAAACTGTGAGGAAAGGTATAAACACCGAATAAATACTATGCGGGAAAAGATATATAATATTAGTTCAACATATTTGGCACGACAGCTCATTTTTCGTTATATATTACAGGCATAGTTTCATTCCCACCTTCAACTCCACTCATCCCTCCATCTATTATATTATATATTATTAAAAATTGTCGACATGTGATGTAAGCCCGAAAACTCCAACCAACCAGTTTAACTATGTACGTGCACTCGTTTGTTTTAATTTTCCTAGTAATTTGGGGTTTTTTTTGTCTTAAAGAATATGATAATAATACCCTATATTGTGCTCCATATGATGATGCAGTAATTTTGAAACCACCAATCACTTAACTACAAAATTTGTTATGATAGGCCTACGTGTGTAGTTTAAGACTGAGCGACGCCATGATACACCACACATTAAGATCTACGACAATATAGAAAAATAAACAAGAAAACATCTGAATGAAGACTATATTTTCATAATGATTAATGAGTTATTAACTCTCTGTACTCGACCATGTATAAATCACAAGAACCATTGATATTCTCTGGTACAACGTGTCACCTTGCCAGCGTTCAACTCTACAAGATGTCACGAGTATCGTATCACGGGTAGACTTTTTGTACCTTAAGTTGTAAAGATTTCCCGGTGATCAGTCAATCAGTTCCAGGTCACAGCGCGCCCCCTGTTGACTGTCATCCATTTAGAAGTCCGAATCGCTGTCTGAAATCGGTCGGTGATAAAGCTCTGACATGTTATAGATATATAGATCAATTTAATGGTATTTAAAGTCACAACTGAGATTAAACCACTCACCGATTATGGCTATATTTCCTTCGGGACTATATATGAGAGTTAACGCCCCCTATCGCATATTGTGAGACGTTCATTGTTGACACTGAAACCAATGGGGGATATTTAATTTGTATGGAATTAAAGCATGTCTAATTCATTAGTTTAGGGGAGATATTTTGAGAACAGCGACATGTGCGATATAAATTTATATCGGGCAATTTTATTTGCATATTTCAAGACACTTAGTCGGCAATGTCTGACTTTAGTCGAAACAATTATCCGAAACGCACAACTGCCATCCTCTCTTTAAAATTTTGATCATTTAATTTGTTTCCATATTTTTCTTTATGTTAGATGTTGTCGCCAGATGGGGAAAACAAATGGTAACTCGATTCGGTAACTGGGTTGAAACTTTTGATTTTAAACAGCACGTGATATAGGGAATCCTTGCCCCCAGCTTCCAATAATTTAGTAATCTCTGAACTTGGGATAATCCCGTGATTTGTTATGAAAATGATCCCATGCTGCTTAGCGACAGATTGGCCGACATGTTTAAATGGCAGGGATTACTGGGATTTAATTTTTATATTCAATATGGCGCACTTCCGTCTAATCCCCCCAGCGTGAGGTAGGTGGGATAAAAAGTTGTAGGCATGTGGCAAGACTCACATCAAAGTCTATAACTGCTTATACACAATCAACGTCTTTGAGAGTTATTTGAATTTCAGTGTTAAAACCCAGCTGATAATATTGCTGTTATAGAGCATAACACACAATACGGTTTGGTGTCATCGAACTATTCTGATATTCAGAATTATTACATGGAGTTTATTATTTATTTTCTGGCCAAACGAGTACACTGCAATCGCCCCCGCCCGCCCTACTCCATAATATTTAAGATAGAAAATGTCAAAATTACATCGAATCACTAATTAAAAAATGAGTAGAAAAATAGTTAAGTCAATCTCGATGTAGGGTGACTTTTAAATATAATCATTTAGCAGGTCTTTTGTAGATATTTCCGCTTTTATTTGATCATGGCAATTATATGATTTAATTCCAGAACACAAACACTAGCATCTCACAGGAGATGTAATTATGCACATCTGGAATTTTCATCAACGATTTGACGAAATTGGATTTAAACGACCACGGTCAACGTTTTAGCCTCAACACATACAACAGGTCAAAATATTTTTTAATGCCATAGAGGAAAACTATAATATATGCTCAAGTGAAAAAAAGAACAATTTAAGAGTGACGCGGTCGGGTCTCCCCTCGCCGTTAACGGCTCGTAAATCAATCTCGATCGCACCAGGTATTCAATTGTCCACGTATACGGTAATTGTGGATAAAGTCGTTAAAATGTGTGGATGTTAAAATGGCGTCTATATAATCACAGAGAGGGTTATAAATAGTGTAGCAGTCAGTACTTGTTATTGCATTATAGAAGTGGGTAATTGATATCTCTGCAGTCTGGTACCAAATTATTGATAATGTCATCACTTAAGGAATGGGTAGCTTAGTAGGCATAGATTCACACAGGGCATTGTTAAATAAATCTAAAGAACTAGGGCATATGAGAGGAGGGTGGGAGTCTCCCCCGTGCGCAAGAATATTTTTTATATTTCAGCATACCTTAGAATAGATCTGACGTATACATATCGACCTAAATATATTACTTACCATCTCCCAAATACTGAAATAGTACAAAAAGCTCCGTGACTGTTGTCAAGCTCAGCTATTGGGTTAGAAATGAGGTATTAATTTTAAAAAATCTCTACGCCATTGATTGAAAATGATTAACCAAGGAGTTGTTTTGTGTCAAGTCTATTAATTTTGAAAATTGTCAAATTATACTCAGACATTTTCGCATATATCTTAAAATGAAATGAAATGAAATGGGGTTTAACGTCCTACTGTTCTGCTCCTATACTGGATTAATGAAGACGGCGCATATATCTTAAAGTGTATTTATTTAAATTGCATTGACAAGAAACTAACCCAATATTTAATACCATCAATTGGTTTATGTAATGTAGAGTAATACAATTAGCCGTAAAATGGAGGCTTATCATACCTCACATGTTGCTGCAAATCTAGTGTTATCTAATAAACATAATATGCCCTGGCCAAAGATTATAAAAATACATGGATTTTCAGATGAGCAGTTCGGCATTCTGCAAACACTATAATACTGTGGAATTTCATACAGAAATTTAAAAGCACATGAATGGAATCTGATACATGGCTGACCAAACATAGGTCTCCCTGTTCACTCTGACCTGTCAAATGATTTACAATGGTGATGGTACCTACAATTTTCCTGACCAAGAGCTATGCACAACAGTCAACACACAAGCCATTTATGTTATCTTCCAATATGAGAGGCCATAATAAACACAACTCGGAAATGAAGTCATCACTAAAAAGCAACGTTTACAGGGGTCCTCGGCTCAATCATATTAAAATGCAGATATTATTTCGTTTCGTTTTTTTTTATACTTTCGATGGCCTACACTACATGCAGATCGGACCGGTTGTAGTGATGGGTCGCGTCAGTGGTTATACGAGCGGCTTTTGACCCTATGACGTCAGGCATTTGATCAACCAATCAGCATTGATGTTTCTAGTGGATTACACACAGTTCCGTGCACCACACGCCAAAAGCTCGCTGTAACAGGCCGTTTCATTGGCTAAACTCTCACATCATCCAGAAAACGTCGATGATAACATCTCTTCCAGACACTAGTGTAGTAAAGACAAGTAAAATGAAATTTTGAACTATAAAAAACGAAAAGAAATAGGATCTGTGTTTTAATCAGATTGTAATCGACTGGAACCCAAACCGATTACGATTTACCCTCCAGTTCCACAGGTGTCACAGAGATCAGGGACGAAACTGATATGCATCATTGTTCTACTAAAGCGAAGTCACCGTGTTTTGAGATGTAGACCTGAAATGTTAAATTTGGATGAGAATGAGAATTCTGGGGCGAATACTATCCAGGGAAACAGGATCATAGACATCCAGAAAATGGTCAAAATGTAGAATTCTATTCAGTTCCGTGCCAAGGGGAGAAAAGGTCTGTGCAGTACCAAATTTCCAGCCCGTTAGTGAGCAAAAGTGTGAATCGGGTTGGATGTACTTCGTAAAGTGTATGAAATGCACATTTATCTCACCAGTTTTGCTTTTTTTAAATACTTGTGTTGAGGTCAATCATTCCACTTAATGGAACATTACCCTGGCACATGAAATGAGAGAAAGATGGGAATAAATACGCAATAATAAAAAAAAAACAATAAGAAAAAAAAATATGTGCTTGAATAAGAAGGGAGACCTCCTCGATGGTTTCAACTGGAGATAAAAATAATATGCCTCTTTATTTCTACCGAACAGCCCTTCAGTGGCCCTCCAACAAGAAATCAGTTAACAATCACTAAAAAAGTAAACCTTGGGTGTCACATAAATCTAAGCCAACCTCAAAGGTAGACACCAGATTTTGAGGTTAGGTCTAAATGTTAAAGGGGAAGACCAACGATTTTCAATAAGGTTTCCATAAATAATAAATATATATTTAGAAAAAATCCCTCCTATAACATATGCAAAAAATAATTTGTAAGCGAGAAATGAATTTTTATTGATACCGGAAGTGACGTAGTTGGTTCGACACGCTCACTGGTCACTATAGTAAACATACAAATTTGGAGTAAGTTTAGCGCTGTATTTTGTGATCGTTTCGCCGTTTGGCAGAAAATCTGATGAAAGGTAATCTTTATTAGGATATTAAGAACAAGAACTTACGGTGTTTTGAAAGTATAATATACAACGCGTTTGTGTAAATTAAGTTTCTAAACCGGACACTGTGACACAATTTAAGCCACATGGCTAATTGTTTACATCACGTGATAGCTGGCACGTGACAGATATTAACCGAACACAAATTGGCGACCTATTCGGCTAGCGACCTATTCGACCGATCCAGCTGGCAACCTGTTCGTTGGCAACCTATTCAGAATAAATTCAACAGTCGCCCAAACTCATCTATTTTTATCAACCAATAAAATCCAACGTAACGTCTATCAAATGAAAGTAGAATATATTATCATTTATCCATTCCTTTAGCTCAGAATAGAGATGTAATTTCGCATTATCTTACAAAATTCTGGACATCCAAATTTGCTCCAAACTTGTATGTTTACTATAGTGACCAGTGAGCGTTGTCGAACCAACTACGTCACTTCCGGTATTAATAAAAATTAATTTCTCGCTTGCAAATTATTTTTTGCATATGTTATAGGAGGGATTATTTCTAAATATATATTTATTATTAATGGAAACCTTATTGAAAATCGTTGGTCTTCCCCATTAAGGCCAACCACATATTTGCTCAAAGGTCACAAGGTGTAAACAGGGTTAGGGCATATAATTTTTGACGAGATTGTGGATTAGGGCTAGGGTCAAGGGCTACGTCTTGGGTTAGGACCCGTGCCTGTTGGCGAGATTGTGGGTTAGGGTAAGGGCTAGGTCTTGGATTAGGGTTAGGGCCAGTTCTGTTTACATCTCGTGACCTTTGACCAAATCTGCAGTTGGCCTTAATATTTAGCCCTACTATCTAGGCGTTAATATTTAGACCTAACCATGTTTTGACATCATACAACGAAATGTTAACATTTACACCCCAAAATTCACACTCAGCCATCGGATACCCCTAATATTGGCTATTACTACTGAGCAATAGTATTCTTACCATTTCGGACACTTCACTTCTCATTTAAAACTTCTGGAAATAAGTGGCTGGGGAAAATTGTCTACATCACAGGCTGTAGCTTTTTGCTCAACATTCCGTTGGTTCCAATCTTTATAGGCACATCGGGGACCGCATTTGGAAATCCCCTCATCATAATTTTGTAGGGGGTTGACCGTTTAGATTTTTTTGCTACGGGGATTTAATGTTGACTTGGGTCAAAATCTCACTTCCGACACCGATTGCTCTGGAGATAGACACTTATCATCAGTATTACCCAAAACTGGTATGAAATTGCAAACTTGACCCCTTTTCTCCAATTCTAGACCAAAAAGTCAACCAAAAAATTCAGGTAGAGGGGAGAACAATTGTCTATTAAAATAACTCGCACTACATCATTACTGGTCATAGTCCAACTGTTCAGTGAGTCTCATGAACAAAGGGGCATAACTTCCTTTTATCTGGATGCAGACCACTATTAAATTTCACAAATTGGACACAGCTCACGATTAGTGCAAGAAATATTTATAGTGGCCCGCATCTACAGGGGGCGCGGGGGGGGCATGCCCCCCCCCCCCCCCCCGCGTGAAATGCTGCCCCCCCACTCAGAAATTGCTAACAATCAAGTATACACAGTTCCTTATATTAACCTAAAAAAACTACGCTTCCCTAAGCAGGAGGGGGTATAATTCAGGCGACAAATGAATTGCGCGCTAAACTACAAACGAAAGACTAGGTAGCTAATAACATAATCAAGGGAGATAACTCTGCCGATACCGTTTTAGGCCACGTTGTCACAAACACTACATACATTATTATTGACACTAAAAAAAACCAGGTAAAATAATTGTTTTGTCCAAGGAGTTTGGAAGCCATATGCCAGGAGCGAAAAAATTATTAACATTTACCAGTACTGAGTACTGACAAAGTAAAGTGCGACTCGAAACAAAAATTTAGCGGTATTTATTTAAAACGCTATGCTATCAGTATGCGCATATTAATCCCACGGTATCTCATTACTTTATAAACCATTTTTTTGTACTAATCTAAAATAGTTTTAAATAAATTTAAAAAATCACGATTTTTTTTTGTTTGAATACTTATTTTAAAATGCTTATTAGACGCCTAGGTAACTACATAGCATGATGATTACAACAGTCTGTTAGAATGAATTTTCCGAAAATTTCCTCAAAATGTTCGCCCCCTTAAGGGGGGTAATGCCCCCCCCCCCCCGCTTAATGGTGTCTAGATACGAGCCCGCCCCCTTTCGCCCTTTTGCATGGGGATTTGTCTTGGGTTTTTGGTGTAGAATCGAAGAAAAGTTTTTGAGTATACATTTTCTGCCAGGTTTTTGTGAATATTCATGATTTTGAGGCGGAAGAATAAGAGATTTGTTACGTTGAAGTGTAGGGCGGACAGTCGCATGTTTACTGGCTATGCTACTTCCAGTTTGTGTATCTCAATATTTCTATGGTGAACCTTATGCCACATATTGCTCCATCTGTTGTAGAACGTAGTCAACCTCGCGAAAATTTGGGAAAACGTTAGAGCCGCTCAAAGAGACCAGAATTAACATTAAAGTCAATGGGGAAATTAATTGTGTACTGTTTCCAAATCGGTACGATTTGTTATTCGTCTATATAAAGCAAATCTCTTTCTCTCTTCCTTCCTTTTCTTTCATTTTACATAGACAGTTTTGTACATTTGTGGTCTAGAATCGGAGATGATGTTTTGAATTCATATTTTCTGAAAAAAATCGGCAAATATCATGGTTTAGAGTAGGAAGTATAGGTTATCGTGATATGTACCGGCGGATAGTTACATGTTTTTGATATGCTACTTTTAGTTTGTATATCTCAGTAATTATTTCACACATTTCGTTGACCACGTAAACTTCTTAAATGAGACTTTCATAGTGTAAATTGGGTTTAGCCTATAATGGGTGACGCATCTAAACAGGGTGTTGTCATTACTATTTTACGCGACAAGAGAAGGGATATTATAGCTCTTATTGTTTAACACAAAATACACCTAGTGTGGGCTAAGTAATAATTGACGGTGCAGCGATGTATAGGTCCAAAACTCATACAGTTTCACCTGCGAGGTCTTAGGATTCTCCAAATTGCTGTAGAAAGAATACTACACCAGAGCGAACATAATGAAACCAAGGTTGTGAGATATTATTTATATTTAACCTGTTTCTGGAAATCGAACTCAATATCTTTTTCGTAATCCGGATTCTTTATAAATCAAAGCCAGTGTTAGGTTGCTGTTAGTCTTGGTTGACTGATTTATTGAAATGGAATGAAGCTCGCACACACATAATACAAAATAATACCAGTCTTTACAATAAAATAGTAGGCTACGATATGGCTTGTGTAACTGAATTACAGCAGGTTGCTTACTTTCAATGTATTTCTGAACGGAGTTTCTAACGCCCTCACACAAGACACTTAAGGATAATCTTCATGCCCACCCCATCCCACCCGCTCTGTTTTACTTAACTTCTTACGTTCAATGTAAAAAACAAAACAGTATAATGATTTTTGTGAGACATGGAATGGATATTTATTATGCTTCACAAGCATCATCACAATACAGATCCAGTACAAAGTATTATAACTGTTGCTTTAAGAAAAATCGAAACAAATTGACATGTACAAAATATGGTATGGCCATAACAAATATACGAAATGTTGGTATAACAAACAGCTCTACTAGGGTTATTTGGAGATTAAACGAAGTCGATATTCCCATATTTAAGCCTACAGCTAAAATAGTGTAATGTAAAATCATATGGAGAAACAGACCCACCTAAATGGTGGTCGGTTACGGCACTAAAATAGGATTTTTTTTGTTATTTTTTCGCTCCATACACCACAATTATAGCTTTCAAGTTTATAGACAAAAACCCTTATGTTCCCATCAAATGTTTGCCTTAAAAACATATTTGGAATGTAAACGAATTTACAATATAATATAAAAAAATTCTAATATATTAAAGCATTTGAAAAAAAATATAGTAAACAGGCTTAATGTATAAATAAAAACGTTTCTTTTAAACATAATTTTTCAACCATAATTACAGGAAGAGCGAATTATGGCAAGATATTCAATAAGAAACTGGATAATTCCTTAAAAAAATCAATCTTAAAATTGTCCTTAAAATATAGTGGGAAAAAACAAAACATAATTGCTAGAAAGTAATAATAAAATATATTCAGCAGTGATAGAGTAATAAAATTTATAAACTTAATAAAAGAATTGGATATATTACACTATCCTACCAGAAATAAGATCTATCTCCTAAATATATTATTCTATGTTATGGCGCCGGGCATAACTCTTTATAAATAAGGCATATCAAAGCAACTACTGTTTGCAAATGATGCAAAGGGGAAAAAATCCCATTCTTAGATCGTTTGTTACGAAAATTGGGCCATGTTTATGATATTAAGTCTGTGTATCAAAACGACAGAGTAAAGTAGGAGTTGTGTCCCTTTTAACAGTCTTTCTTTTCATGGAAGATTCACTCGTTTCAAATCTTCCTTATTTAATGTAATACCGAGAATCGTATTCGGCTATTTATAATAGATGTCACAAGATCTCTACAGGGACTCAGCCCTTCAAAACCCAATGCTTTCTCTTTCTGTGTGAATGCTGCCATGATGACAAAATAACAAACGAGTCACATACATGAAAAAAGATGTACAATATGAAATATAGAAAGTTGTATTTATATGAAAGCATAAAAAAAATCATTTTAATATCATCTAGAAAACACAAAATCAAAGAACAGTGTCATGTTCTGTGATTTTGTGATTGGCTTCCTACCCAGACCAGTGACTTTCAATAGTAACAAAAGTTTATAGTAATTTAACATACAATGAACAATAAGCATATACATCTATAGCAAATAACGGAGCTATCAATGATATTAATTAATATTATATTCATAGTATTTCGGTAAATATAACATACGAGTACTTTCTCTTTTCTGACAATGGTAGGACTACAAATGCATCAAAAATCACAAATTTATTTTTGCTTCCTGACAAAATCTTATTTGCTTTAAGTATATGATTTTTTCCATTGTTACATGGAATTGAATATATGTTTTCTCAAAAAATACTAATGGGTATAATTCGTTGTTTCGTTTAAAACACGATGTTAGAATTTTAATCTACATTGATAGTCCTCCATAGCTTTTGCTTAACATATGCAGTCCTTCACAACCATCGCAATTATGGAACGATTATAAGTAAATACTACACGGCGTGTTAATACATGTAACTATTTACTGTAGCACCAACTGAAATAAGAATCATTCGCCGATAATTCCTTAGAGTAAACTGACCCATAATTGGCACACGGGCTGTATCTGGTTAATTCTTCCCTGCTATGAAAGCTCATTGGGGACAAAAAGAAGAATCAGTTTGCCAACGCTTACAGAACGTGTTGTTCACTAATTTCTGTCTACTAAAAGGAATAGACGATGTAGGTATAAATAAATGTGTTAACTAAAATGTCGCCTACGAGTTACTAAATAACGCTATATATTATTATAACAATTATGTGCTTTTTGTCTGCCGTTTACAAAAGCTGCCGAACTATAGGCGTGCCCACAGTTAGGCATGGAATGGCATTGGTAAACTTATGTGTAGAGAGTCTTCTGGTTGTGACAAGCCTTCTCCTGAAATAGAAAAACAAAACAAATATGCATTTGGGATTGAAATCTGGACGAAATCCCCATATAATAAACAGGACGCCCCCTCTTAGATACGATCTTTATCTGGGATGAATAAACAACGGATATCACATATTTACATAATTTCCACTCTACTATTTTTTACTCTTTAAATTCATATGAATGTTTATCTGGATTACAAATGTGTCTGATTTAGAAATTACTGATAAAGCAAATATAATGAAAAATGTTATAAAAACTTACCTCTTTGTTCTCATTAAGAAGTTGAGTTTTAACTTGAGCTCCTTGTCTCCATATCTCACTATCTTTAAATACAAGATCAAATTGGCTAGCTTCACCAACAGCAGAACGAGCGTAAACCTACAATCAAATCAACTATAAAATTATAAACGCCGGAATGAGTTCTTTGGTTAACACCATATTGTTGTAGGTGATCTGGGTGAAAACATAACTTTTATATTTCTGTTATTTCTGTGAAATGAAATGGGTTTAACGTCCTGTCTTCTGCACCAACCTGGCTGATTTTACCCGGACAAGTTTCTTTTACGTGCACGCTTGTGGACACGGGATCTTGGTTTTTCGTCCCATCAGAACGACTAGCCGCTATTCTATGCCAGCCCCCCCCCCTCACTGCACCTCTAACAAGGGGAGGCCTACACCTGAATCGAACCCGGTCCACCGTGACTCCTTGTACCGGCATTCACTCATACTACTTTTTGAATATACTAGCTCTTATTTTCACCAGTTTAAAGGACAATATTGGTGTCAGTCGTTATCAAATATGTAATAGAACTAGTTTAACACGTCCCAAATATAATTTTAACACAAAGATCATTGCTACGATAGATGCGTAATCAAGGTTTCAACAAAAGGAAGTGACGAACACAAAAGGAAAACACTTGTTATACTTCTATATAACTGACTGAAGTTACAGGGGCGAATTTCTGCTCTCTAATAATTGCTTCGAAGACCAAAAGTTGTTATGTAAGACTGTGAGATGATATCTGGCAATTCAAAAAAGTAATTGAATGTTACTAGATAAGAGAACACGAGAAAAATAGAAATAGTCCGTACATTACCACGTTTTTATTCATTCTATACTTAATAAAAACACGGTAATGCACGGACTTTTTCTAGTGACAGTCAATTTATTAGTGAATTATTAGTCAGCAGAAATTAGCCCGTGTATCTGTTATCACTCGTCACTTCAGTCAGTTATATATAAGGATAACTCGTGTTTTCCTTTTCCGTTCGCCACTTCCGTTTGTCGAAACCTTGATTACGCATCTATCGTAGCAATGATCTCCGTGTTAAAGTTATATTTGGAACGTGTTAAACCAGTTCTATCACATATGTGATAATGACTGACACCAATATTGTCCTTTAAGCAAGCTCACTCTCGTCCAGTCTATGAATACCACTGCATATCGCTTCCCGTAAACACAAAGTTAGCCGGATTTTAATTACTAATTGATAAGGCTGTATTAGAGAGTGTGGAAATTTGTATGATTCCATAAGCTTGTCGATAAGGCTTGACGTGGTTTGTTTTATATATTGGTATCACTATTGTGCTTTTTTTTAAGATCAAGGGAGATAATCATCATATTTAAAGATGGGTATGAATTATGACTAGTAATATGTATTTTTTTCTTTTCGCCTTATTTTACCTTTGCAAGGAAACAATGGAGAAGGAGAATATTTGTTTGTGAATATTTATGATTTCGAAGCGAAGGGATCAGGAAGTAATAAGTTATAAATTAGGGAAATCACCTACAAAAATGACGCAACAACCCAAAGATTCCTTTAACCCGTTGTAGAAATAGAAAAATAATCGAGACGCCCAGTCCCATTGATTGTGATTATGATATGCTAGGCCTTTTGTGGTTATAAAGATTAAGGTTTAGAAGTGTTCAAAAAATTGTTCTAGGCCAAAACATTTCATGAATATTACATTGAGTTATTCAGTTACCCAACAAAAATAAAACAAATATTTACCTTAACGGACATGCTTGGTTTTAGGACTAAATTCCTTATTTTGAAAATTTGAGGGTTGGCGATATCATTGTCAACAGTTCTTTTCAGTGTATAACCATCTAGATTTACATCCTGAAATTCAGAATTGACATTATATTTCATATAAAATTTGTATTTTGCGGTCAACGGAAATATTCGGCACACTTTAGCAAATAGGGTAAACAAAAACATTTTCATAATGGAATGTTGTACAAGGTCTTTCAAAAAGACTTTTATCAACTGAATTCCATGTTTGACCACTGGTTAGGATCGACTGTGTTTGAATTTCTATCTTACAGTCACTAAGCCTACCAAAAACTGCATAACCATCTTTCGAAAGACAAGGGACCTTAAATTGTTCAAACACTACTTTGTTTGCATTTCAGTTTTATGTGGTTGCGTGCATACAGTTTTATCAAGTTCCTTAACGCGTTTATATTATGCTATCTGAGCAAAGGAGGGAATCGATAGACAGTTCATGTTAGCTTCTACATAATGTATACTCTACTTTCGATCGATTTGATGGAATTGGTTCGTGTGGTTGGCATCAGATCGCTTGCTCTTTATTGACGATGCTTGTAGACAAATATTTATTCTTTTCTGTCCATTACATTGTCTGTTTGCTGGGCCATTGGTGGTTATTGACCTTCCGTGAATATATGTCACTTTATACTGAACATGTTTTAAGCAAGCTCAATGAAGATAATCTGTATCGTCGCTGCATCAACTAGCTGACAAATGTTTGATACTATTGGCAACATAATCAGATCTATACATTTAGATTTAGATATAAAGAGGTGGGAAAGCTTTAGCTAAGAGGTCGCCATGAACTGTCTGGTTGCTTGATACCATATGAGAACTGATTTCTAATGCATATTATTAGTTCATTAATGGTTCATTAATACAAAAGCATTAATGCATATTCAGGCTCAGACTACATAATAATATAACAACAATATATATGTTCTTCGATTAATCACATTTAGAAACATATTACTCACCCGTCGGTTGGAACCAGTAGATGTATTTTCTAACATAATGTACTTCCCTTCAGGGTTTACATCGGCAATGGCGATTGGTCCATTCTGGGTTCTCTGGTAGGTAGTTTTAGCGGAGACTTCACCTCGCATCATCTTCATACCCAGGTTAGAGTCTTTAGGTAAGATAAAATACTACTTCAGTACTGTAGGGATTTTGTGGGTGGGATTGGGGAGGTGTGATGAAAAGGGGTTGGGAATGAAATCTTAATTCGAGTATTGCAGAATACTGTCTTATACTGCTTATTGTACCACTGGAAGAAGGGATTCCTACTCCCTTGGTGCAGATGTATTTAGATTAAATGATTGCGTGTGCACTTGACACGTCTATGTCCATGCTAGTCTAGTAAAACGAGATTGTGGGGTGGGGGGAGAACCTATGATGCCACACCGGTGGTTTCTGATGAATTCTGGTTTACCAGAACATATAATATTCAGGGTTGCCAATACCTAGTCAGCAACACTTCCCGACACGGAAGTTTCCCTTTCGAAAAAAAAACCCCAATGGGCTAATATCTTTATCCCGGGGCCAAATCATATTTGTGGATATTGACTATTACATTTAACAAGGTTTAAATACTATTAAATTTACGTTTTAAAATCTTGTTAGTACGTTAGTTTTATTTTACAGTATCAAAACTTCTATCGTCGTAAAAAGTGACTTCAACTTCAAAACTGTTCATTATGATCCAAAATTAAAGTGAAAACTTTAATTGATCAGAAATATAGCCACAATGTTCGAAAAAGAATTTAAGGAGAGGGCATACATATCAGAAATATAGCCACAATGTTCGAAAAAGAATTTAAGGAGAGGGCATACATATTCAACCACACGTATCTCACCCATCACTATGCAATTTAAAAATGTCAATATCTTGAATTTTGGAATTCAGAACCCGAAGGTGCTGTCACTTCTTACCTAGATATGGGTAAATTTATGTTGCCAAGACAAAGAAGAGATAGAGACGAGATAGAGGAAGGAAGCGTTCATTTTATTCATCATTAAAAGCTTTACAAAATAAAAACCCTGGTCGCAGCAGTACCAATAAAGGGGAGGCAATTCATTGCAAAGGGTAAAAATATATCGTAAAATCCATAGTAAAAGTAAAATGTGACATATTAAAAATACTATCTAACTTAAAGCTAGTAACGCTCGACTAGTACGATAAAGCACAATCTATGAGTATAATATATGACACATTTTATTCTAGAATCCCAAACGGGTAATTTAAATAGGAAGTTTTCGTTAATCCTTACCGAGCAATGCGTATTCGTGGTAAAACCCACTATAGAAATGCATATTAAAAGAAAAATACTACTGTAGTAGTTTCGCCATAGTTCTAATTCTTAGTGGCTCAGGATTAATGTGCTGTGATGGTATATATGTGATGTTTATATCTATGGAAGGTCCTCAGCAACAAACTAGAGACCATGACAGTGATCAACTAAACTAAAGTGAAATCATGCTAATCATGCAATTATATGATAAAAAGCACAAAATAATAATACAATATCACAGAATATATATTGGGCCGGTTAGTTTAGATTTATGTTTAAACAATCGCATTTGTTCGTTGCTATTGGGAGTCTATCGCAATCAATTTGGTTAGAGCAAATCGTTGTTTTCCCGTGGAGATTAGTATAGTTAATACAAAAAGTTTATTATATATAAATTTGTTTAATTGTTTTTTCTAGATTGGCGACGGGATTAAGGAAGGTTAGTTTAAAATCTAATGGTGTTATTTTCGTATTAAGTCGTCATGTGACGTAAGATCTATACGCACCGGAACTCTCATATTGGCTTGATGATACGTTGACAATATCGGACAACCTGGCGCTACCGCGGTTCTGGACGTTTACAACTTGTTCAACTACTTGACGTAAACCAACTCTGGAAGGGGTTAAAGGTGATAGTGGTAAAAGGTCAAATAAAATTAACAACATAAAGTAAAATGCAAATAAATCATAATGGAGCTGCAAAAAGAAACAAAAATTAAAGCTATGAATTAGGTAAAAAGTGAATTTTAGGAACATAAAAATTCAAATGATACCTTGATTGAAGCGACAACAGTACATTTGTTAATTTCAAGTTGAAAAACAACATTCCATATTATAATTTACCGCCATATCCGAAAGAAAATTCCAGCCCAAACAATATCAAATGTCAAACACCCCTCATAAATGTTGAGAATGGGCATACCCTGCGATTCGGGTGCGCTGTGTGCACGAGTGAGAAATCCCCTAAATCGGACGTTATCAGTTCTCCTGGATAAATTGAAATGTAATTGACGTTTACAAAGAACAAAAACAATCAACAACATCAAACAAATATGTAGAATGTAAAATAATAGTCTGTAAATAACAGCTCCATTTCGCCAGTAGCTAAAATATAGGGTGTGTTTGGTGAACCCGATCCAGGACGCTGAATATACCAAAAATCCGGATTCAGATAGCGACCAACCAATCACACCCCTATTTTTAATGTGCTCCATATGGCAAAATCCATAAACGACAGTATTTTCATTGTCCATCATCAAGTTAATGCTTGGTGGTATATGCTTTGTGGCATTTATAAAAAATAAGCGCCCAGTATATCCGCACTGGATACATAGTGCGTTACATCTTTGACTTTTATAAACTGAGACTATACTTTGCCACAAGGTAATAACGCAGGATAAAGCTGATCACGCTTTAATGATTTAAGAAATTTCTACACGCACTTTGAAGCAATGTTCTCTATAAATTTATCAAGGATATATCGGGTTTTCATAATGCGGATGCTAGACCCAACTGATCTAAGACTACCGTGATTTGCATACCAGCCAACAATTTAAATATTCAAAGAGATCGTCATAATTACAATCTGTCATTTTTGAAATAGGTTAGATAACCAAATTCGTTGTGGTTTTATTTAATTACTTTTTTGTTTCGTTTTGTTTTGCTTCCCGTCGGCTAAACCTAAGACTGAGTAATGTGGTTTAGTGATAGGGATACACGAAAATAATGAAATAGATCCCTATTTATAAAAACAGAAGCATGCATTTCCCAAGAAGAAGTATTGATGATAAACAAGAAAATGGTAATCCTCATGCTACAAAAAAATTTATGGATATTCTAAAGTATAAAACAAAACGTCCAAGGCACATAGAAACGGCAACATGAACTTAAAACGTTGACAATAAGCCACAACCATGACCTGAAACTTCAAATCAAAACAAATGTTACATCAAATATTTACGGAAACATCACTGCGGTGCAAACGTGTTACTTTACATGGACAAATTTCTTAACACCGACAGAGAAATGTCGCTGAAATAAACTAGAAACAATGTACTAGTAGTAAAATTGAATCTTTGACGCGTGTAGTTTTCCACATTGCAATCACCATTTATAACCACGGCGCTCACCATCATCGTCGCCACTTTTAGTGCTTCTATCATCATCATGACCACCACGGCTGCTGCTGTGATGTTCTTCGTAGCTTCCACCGCCTCCACGTCCGGAACTACTACCGCTTCTTTCTTCGTAATAGCCACTTTCGCCTCCACGCCCACCTCGCTCGTCATAGAACTCATTGAGCTTGCCTCGAACACTATATCGGGAAGTTTCTGTTCCGCTTACCTCTTTCGATTGAGTTGGCCCTTCAATGGTGTTCCAAGTTTCATCCCTAAGGGACAAAAATGCGTTCGGTTGACATTTTGTTAATCTAATTTCATATAAATATTAAAAATAGAGGATGGGGCAATAAATGGGTTCTTCTAAAACAAAAACCAACAAAACATAAAGAAAGCGAAAATAATAACAGTGCTATAAAAACGACACAAAAAGCCAATTGTGCTGCCAGTGACCGAAAAATATCACCGGCGAGGTATTCTTTGAATCTCACCGTCGTCATGGCCGTTTTTACCGTGTCCTCCACTGCCCCGTCTGTCTCTTGTATCTCGAAAATCCCTGTCACCTTTTCTCTCCTGACGGTCCTTCAGATCATCATCATAGTAACTGCGTGCAGTTTCCCGCAAAACCTGTGAGTCACCTCCCGATCCAGGTTCCAATCGCCGGACGACAGTGACTCCCTCGTGACTGTGGGACACATCCAACCTGTGGGATTGATTTGGTAAACCAAGTCGTTTGATCTATGAGCATTGTGAGCAAGAATAATGGTATACAACTAAAATTAATAAAACTGAATGAAAAAAAAGTACGAAAATATATAAATACATATTTTGACGTTAAATCAATCATGTAATTTAAATACATCAACATTTAACTAAGTATATAAATCTAAAAAATAAATCAACAAATTTAAGTGCATATGTCTGGATCTAAGATGAGAAGAAAAACACAATTAATGAACTCAAATACATTACAGTACACAGAAAACACAATAAAGGTGCGACAGTTTGAAACGAAAAAAAACAACAAAATTTTCAAACATCAAAGGGCAACAAAAGTAACATATATTAATATAATAAAAATAAAAATGTATAGATAAACAATAATCACAATTAATAAAATATGATTACTTCAATAAATGCACGAAAATTTAAATAAGGTAGGTCATTCTTTTTATATGTATGGAATACTACTCAATTAAGAATATGTCTTGACTCTCATTACTTAAATGCAATCTTTCGATTAAGAATATATAATAATTTGGATACTCATTATTAAATCCAATGTTTCCAATAAGGATATATTCATGTCCTGGATCTCTAAACTAAAGTTCTCAATATAATTTTAAAAAGGATCTTTACCTGTTCTCTTCACCCTCCAGCAGTTTCCTGTATGCAGCGATTTCCAATTCCAAGGAAAGCTTGGCATCCATAAGTGTCTGCAATTCTTGTAGGATACCTTCCATCTCCGATCTTAGTGTTGTCAATTCATTCTTGAGTTCACTAACCTCTAGTGTGTGTGATTGTTCACTTTGGTCGAACTGAGCCATAAGATCTTGATATTGTTTTTCCAATTGAGCATTCTGAAAGCAAAAGACCGAGCTATGAAAATGGACGTATATCGTAACATCTAGCATGAGCACACACCAAACAATGTTGCTTCTCTAATATACCTTTCATCTTTGCTGTTTGTCATGCAGAGCTAACAGAGAGAAATGGGGTTTAACGTCAACGCGACACAAACTAGGTCATTTCGGGACTAACATATGGTTTAATATTTTTATTTCAATAATTCGCTTGCGCGTAGGGGTCTTTAGCAGTGGGAGGAAACTGGAGGACCGGAGTAAACCCACGAGATTGGACATGCGACCCTACTCCTTGTCACGTACAACCGGGGATTCGAAACCACGCCAGTTGACTCAATGACAGGCCTTATGATACAGTGCGCACGTGCTAACCATTCAGCCATCCAACTCCCCTCGTACAATTAAACACGGATACTGTAAATACCTTCCCTGAAGTGATAATAAATTTCATTCTATAAAACATTTGAAAATCATAAACCAGATCAAATTACACAAATAGACATGGCTCCCTCGCCCCTGGGCCCTGGCCCACGTGAATAAAAAAAACACTTAAGGCATCAGTGTCCCGCGGGTTAGTGGTAAGAAAGATCCCAACTAGAAACATACAAATCGTTAACCCATCATGTAAACATTAAAACGGAAATACAAAAAATGGGACTATGTGATCACGCCACATTGTCATCACAAGTTTTACTTAACAAAGATTATTTCAGTTATGTTTATAATGACATTTTTTGTTTTGAGTATTGGGAATAGAAGGTAATGATATGCTGAAGTTAATGCGTTTGAAGGGGGTTCGGGAGATAGAATAGTTTATCGCATTATTGGTCCCCAATACTTAATACTTCTGGAAGCTGGAGGAATTGACATCCTGAGGATTGATGCACATCAACTGATATTCACTGAATTTTTTTCCAAGGCCATCTTATCAGGTATAGTATAACTACATGTAAACACTTACTCGGGCTTCGAGATCAGCCAATCGACTTCTGGAATCAGATAATTGTTTGCTGTATTTCTTGACTTCCTCCCTGGATGTTGAAACTTCCATATTCTGCTTAGCGGCTCCAGTTCGATATTCTTGAACCTAAAACAGACAAGAAGCGACGCACATTACATATCTACTAAAATTAATCCTTGGCGTTTTCCGATATATATAGCGTACATTAGTAGCTTCGGGATGAAAGTACATCTCTAAATCCATTATTTATGTTTGGGAATAAACATTTAAACTTAGGTTAAGATTAACAATTCTTCAATATAGCATAAAAATTCTGACCATTACCTTAAGGTTGTAGTAAGCTTCCATGTCGCCTCGGATAGAGTCAACTTTGGAATCATACTCATTCTGGATATCTCGGATAGCTTGAGATAATTCGTTCTTCCAGAATTCTCGGTTTTCAGCTGTGGTATCCCTGTAAGCAAGGGCAGCAAGCTCTTTCAATTCCTGTAAATACAAATATACGTATTAAGAAAGATACACTTCCAAACAATAAATATTTCTGAAATTCATTTTTTAAAGCATTTAGTTGAGTACACAAGAATGAAATTTACCAATGGTTATTGATATGTTTAAAAAATTTTGCATCAATTTGTTTACCTGTTCGTGGACACTCTTCATAAATTCAATCTCTTCTTCAAGAGTTTGACGTCGGTTCTCAGCCTCAAGACGTCCCAGAGTTTCTTCATTGACGGCCTGTAGAAAAGTATAAATTTTTATAACAGAAAATATAGAATGTAAGAAAACAATCAAAACATTTTATTTCTAGGCATATTAGTTCGGTCGCTTGCGTGAAGAATAAAATAAATCAATGTTTTGAAACATATATAAATAGTAATCGCATAAAGATTTGTCAAGCGTTCTGTAAACATGCACGTTTAATATTCTACTCTTCATTGGCATAGTAATGCAATCGTGTTCTTTAATATTTTACTTTTCAAAGAGAGAAAAACACACAGGTTATCTTTTTCTTAAATGAATTGTTCTCCTCAATTAGACTGCTATGGTCATAGTAACGAAACAAAATGGCGCAATTCGAAATCAAATCTCTCGGTTATTTATAGACAACCTAATGAAGACTGGCTTAAATGCCACCCCTTGGTGCAACACAGTGTTGAATCACTCTAGAGACTATTTATTAGTATTCTGCCAGTGATCAGTTAATTAATTCACTTAAAAGGTATAAGGGCGTCTTGACTTGACTTGTTAATATATTTAAACAAAGAATTTGATTCTCTCCCCTTTGTAACACGTGACTATTTAGACAAGGATATATATAAATATATATATAAGGTTCTCAAGTTGCATTTCGCGTTGACTGCATTTAGGGTTAAAATATTTAAAATTGCGTAGGATACGCACAGCCGTGTTTAAAATACACCTTTATTGCAGTGATTATATCTTTTTTTATTTTTTATTATATCATTTCTTCATAGTGATGACACTTTTACCCATGCCTTCGTGAGTAAGGCGCTGGCTTACCAACCAGGAGGCCCCGAAATCAATCCCCGTGTTGGTTGGGAAAGGTCCTCGGGATTTCCAGAACTGTGTCCCTTGGTCAGTGTTGAAGGGTAGGGTTGTTTAACGAAGGCGTCTAGTTGTGCACATGGGACGAAAAACGTATACCCAATGGTATGCAAAAAAACCAAAACCCTTAAAGGGGGGTTTATGCCGACCTTGCAACTGAAAGCAGCTGGCGTTTCGGCAACTGGGAGCAACTGAAAGCAACTGAATGCAACTGAAAAAAATCGACCTGAGCGCCTCTTACAACTCAAAGCAACTAGTTGCAGTCAGTTGCACATGTTCAACTTTCTGCAACTGGCTGCAACTAGTTGCAGTCGACATGAGCGTTCTTACAACTGGAGTCAACTCGTTTCCATGGAAATAACATCACGTGATAAGAGACATGTGACTTTATAAATAAGCAAATGGAAGCGAACGAAGACACCCAATTTTCTAGTTTTGATGTCGACAATAATATACTAATAGAATTATAGCAAGGCCGACCATGCCTTTGGGTTGCTTCTTTTAAGTGATTCGCCATTTTGTTGATCACGCGATGAATAAATGAACAGTCACGTGTTCAGTTTGATCGCTATCAGTTCCGAGTCGACATAAGCGCTCCGAATTCAGTTGCTCCCAGTTGTCCTCAGTTGCTGATATGATCGACATAAGCACTCGTGCAACTGACTGCAACTATATAGTTACTTTGGGTTGCAAAGTCGACATGAGTCTCGCTTTACGTTGGAATTTGATGAAGAGTGAACGAAATGCCGCTATCAAGGCAAAATTCCCCTCATATCCAAATTCATCTTAGCCCATTTGGTGCAGAAAAGTGGGAGGTTGGGCCCCATTTCATTTCATATTCACCGATTGTAAAACGATGTTTCCATTTCTACTACCTCTTCATAATTAATACAGGTGAGTAGCTAAATATCAAAATAAGTCAGCTTTTGATGACTACACATTGTAATTTCAACGATAGATATCATCATATTCGACAATAGAAGCTGATACTATTAATACTTGAATATATAGGGAAGATATTCGTAAATAATGTTTTCATTTCTTGACAGTTTATTGACACTGTTAGTGAAATTTCTTATCTTTCAGGATGATCGATGGGTACTCAAATGATAAAGATGACAAGGACAATAACATCGTATCAATCACGCTAAAATTGACCAACGTAGAGTATTATATAATATGGTTTTTAGTCTTTAAACGATACAAAAAAGAGAACCTATATCTGCTGTTCTAAAACGTGTACCATGCCTCGTGAGATATACTATGCGTACTGTGGTTTAATGCTTACATGATATTTATCCCAAGTTCAACCATCTATGTTGTTTAATGTTCACACAAGTGTTTGATTTAATGACTTTAACTATAAAACGGGTGTGATCAAAATACTGCGTAAAAACACCTAATATAATAGACAAATCAATTTTAATATACCGGGCTTACTTCCATTCAGGCTAATGTTCTAGGTGAGAGAGTAGATTATAAAAGCGAAGAATGTTGTTGCTAGCGCTTTCAAATAATAACTCTTTCGTGTAAAGTAGGTTTACATCGTTTTTGGCGCAAGAAACACGTCAGCGATTTATCAATTTATGATCCGTTATTAGACAAGTTTGGATGAACAGATATTGTATTTAATACTGAAGGAATAGTAGTCTCCTTCACTATAATACTATTGCATTACCTCCATTCATAAAACTTAAACTATGCATCTAATTATTACAAATAATATTTCGGGAAAGGCTAACGGTAAGACGAAGCGAAAGGCAACATTTCTTATTAGTAATTTTCTCAGTGCTAATGATATTTCATATCAGTATTACAAAACTTTGTCAAACAAGGTTCCCCATCAATGCTATTATGTTTCAGTGCAGACAGTGATAAACTTGATGTTGACCCCTGTTCAGAGTAAGAATAAAATATAGCTGATACAACAACTTACAATTCTAAGTTTTTCAAGTTCATCATTTAATCTCTGGATAATGCTCTTATCACGGGCTCGTTCTGTTTCCAATGATTCGTTTGATCTTCTAAGCATACGAACTTCCGCTTCTAACTCTGAGATTTGTTGGTTGAGTTTGTTGATAAGGTCACGGTCCTGAGATCTCCACTTCTTGGCTTCTTCAAATCTGAAATAGACAGGTATAGATTAGAGTGAAGTAGGTTCTACGATTTGGCATTTTATTAAACATACATTATGCAAGAGCTAAATCTGCCTATTGCAGGTCTTTCTTTAGGCCTGAAATGTTTTCTGAATTCTTAATTAGACATTAATTAACTTATCCAGGCCTTAATCAACTCTCGATGGTATCGGATTTCTCCGATATTAAATAGATTAGAACAATTCAGCCATATTTTGATTTAAACTAAAACTGGCGGAGCGAGACTTAGCTTCGAACAACCAGTACGGTGGTTAAAATTATTGCACACTTCTTGTCAAAACTTCAAAGGCTAATATCTTCGCTCGCAATAGAGCAATTTGAATGAAATTTTCAAATTATTCATTTTACATCATCTATTTTCGAACTATTATAGCAAGAATGGCTAGCTCTTTATCTAAATCTTACATAATGTATCTTTAAGAATGTGATTATTTTAATATTAATGAAAACGTAACTGGGAATACCTTTATACCAATATAAAAATAATGCAATGGGTGAAACTGTTTTCGAATTCACACAGTTAATCAACCTTTTTAGGACATCTACTACGGCCGATGAGGAAAATTTATTTTTTGATACCAATGTGAAAAATGTGTAATGATTTTATTTTTCATATACATTCTGGAAATTAACATAATATTTGTACAGTCATGGTGTCACTATGAAAACAAAATTACAATGCATGATTCATCTATATTCATTGTTATTTGAACTACATATTGTTACAGGACATTGTCGTCACATTGAACACGTATTTTATTAAAGAATTCTCTATACAGAACAAAGGTCTGTCTTGAATCAGATTCGATCCAGCGATTGAAGCTGACAAATTATAACAGATAATTATTCATATTCAGGTTTATCTTATTCTGATGTATTTCTACACAATAAATAATGCGTTATTACAGGGCTATACATATAATATGGTTGTTTTACCTCAATACAATACAATACAGTCTAGGTCAGGCTTGTTAACCGAGACAGAAAGCGCGAGGGCGTTTATACAAATATAATTACTTTTTTTTCAACCAAGATCAACCTTGATATCAATTACATCAATGATATGCACAGACAACGGTTACTATATGTTTTGTAGTATGGCATTTGCATAACTGCAAACATTCTAATAGAAACAATCAATGTAAGAAGGTGATAATTGTATATAAAAAAGATGTAATATGATCAGATGTTCCAGAACTACTTGTTGGATATGGATTTCAAATGTCGAAGCTACCGTATGTAAGGAAGCCTAGGAGCGAAGGATCCCGAAGTAGGGTCACCAGGATTATAAGTTGTTAATTTCCACTGCTGAAAACTGTAAATTGAAATTCTGTAATTTAAAAGAGCACGTTACTCTGAAAGTTTCAGATCAAACTATTGATAATCTATCGATGAACTACCACACTATGACAAGATTATAGTTAAAACAAGAAACTTTTAAAGGTTTCAGTTCAAACCAATCGAACGAAAACTGACCATGTGTATATATTCGAATAATTAACAAAGACTTTCAAAGAGTTTATTTAAGAGTATTTCACCAGACGTAATCAGTTTTATTCACTGCCATATCTGGCTAGCCTCTTTTAAGAATACATGTACACAGTTAAGTACATGTCCTTAATATCCCACATACCTTAAATATGAACATTTTAAAGGACACGCTTCGAGCAGATTTGCAGAGGTTTTATAAGAGCAAAGTTAGGAAATTTAAAATATTTTCAAGTGTTATTTGTCAAGTTGAAGAATGTGTAGGGTCTGTCAATGATCTTGTTTGTTATCTGATTAGTAGAAGTTAAGCCAGTGAATTATGTTAGTGAAACATAGTGTTTAACATGAATTACTCGGGTCTCTAGCCCATGTTCACCCTTTTGTGCTATCCTTGTGAGATATTCATTTATCTCTTAAATAATTTTCGAGATTAAATGTAGCAATCTTCTAACCCGATCTTGCCTTTTTCAAGCGCCAAAAGAGCTTAGCTTACCCTGATATTTTCCTAGAGCTGTGTATTTTGTAATGGCACTGATATATTTCGAATAACAGGTACCCCCTAGGTGTTATATTCATTTGTTTGCTACACTCATGGTTCGTGACATAATTAATCTGTAAGTTTGTTCGTATTACTTTCTATAGACGCCCCATGTACAGAACAAAATCGGCAATAATCAGTCCCTGTTAGGTGTGACATTAACCTGTCTGTTACATTCATGGTGCATTGCATACTTAATGTCGTGTTGCCTTTTATAGTCTATGCACAAAACAAAATTAGCGATCGTATTCTTTGAAGATTAAATATTTATAATCACGTTTTCTCGCAGGCGAAAATACTTCAGATGCTCTTCCCGACTTCTTAATAATTGCTCATATCGTTTCTTCTAATTTCAGTCCTCGGATAAGTCTACAAAACTACAGTGCAAATATTGTGATAGGTTAAAGAGGTCACCATGGTTGTAACTATTTGGACATCCAGGTTGACGACCGATGAAGAAAACCCCACTTGATCCTTGCTGTGGATTAGCGACATGACAGCGTCTTAGAGATCTTAAGCACATATCGATAGCATGTCTAATCTCAAACTTTAGGTAACAAACGAACTTTAAAGGTTAGATGGTTTGAAATGGAATGAAATGGGGTTTAACGTCCTACTGCTCTGCAAACGCCATAAAGTGTGCTGTGAGGGGAATTTTGCCCGGACAGCGACGCTACGCTCTACTCTTATATCGAATTCCAACCGCCAAGGGATCTTTTACGTGCACGCCGATGTGTAGATGTGACCTCGGTTTTTCGTCCCATCCGAACATCTATAAGTTCTGCAGCGGGGGGGGGGGGACTCACACTGGAAATCCCGATGAACTATCTCAGCCAAAACCGGGATTGAGCACGGGGTCTCCAGATTAGCGAGCCAATGTAAAGTTGTGTTCCGACGTTTCGGCCTCAATGATTAAATATGTGCTAACTGGTTCTGATAATCGGAGCTAACTGGTTAGAGTCAAAACCAGTGTGGCCGAAACGTCTCACGTTGTACGTTACTGTGCCGCATACACCTGCAGCGATTCTTTCATTTCCAACTTAAAAGCGGCACGGCTTTGATAACATACTATATTTCTGATCTTATTGTACAAAATCGTGTGCTAAAATCGTAGGCCAATAATGTGTAGCAATGAAATTTCTGAGTTAGAATAAGAACCATCTTTCCAAACAGATTATTTTATTCGAGAGGATCATTTAATACCACATGGATGTCGCCACATCATTTGCGTTATTTACATGTCAATCTTTATTCATCGATGTCATGAGGTCACTAAAAATGCCTCCGTAATCATTCAGTAAATTTTGACACAACTGACGTAATTTTAGTAAAAGATCAATTTGTATCCGTCAAATTTCAATTTATTTCTAAAGTGGATTCTGCGAGGAAGAGCATCAAATTATGGTTGGAGAATCCTTGTTAACTGTCAGTGTCGAAGCGACATATTATATACGGAGACTGCATGATGGAAATACATGAAAAAATATTAACCGTGGGCTCTATTTGCTTGTATATTAAAATGTATTGAAACTATACCTTAGAGTTAAGAGAATGGTGAAAACTCTGATCATGATTATTGATGTGTATAGTATTTATAAGTGATCTGATTCTAGCTGGTATTGGAATATCAGACTGAAATTATGTCTGGGTCAGAATAACTTATTATTATGGTTATAGCAAGAGCGTAAGCTATAGACTCTAGTTGAATGGTCAAGTCAGCATTAGTTTATTCCGGGATTAACACCGTATTTCTCACTACAAGCTCATTTATGTGGTATTGCCAATATGCAGCTGCTTCTTGACAATAATCCATCAATTCAATACCTCTTGCGGTAGATCCTTTTGAAAGTAACGGCGCTGATTTAAATCGAAAAAGAAAAATATCAGTGTTGTAGTGTATATGTGTATTTTGTCTTCAGTCCAATCAATATATAAGAAGCACTTATCATAAACACAAATCTTATTTGCCCATGTTAAAATAAGCATGAATCAATATCAGCCTAGCTATGCTAAAGAGACAACTCTTAATAGTAAATGCAGGAGGACCGCACTACACGCAAAACAAAATCTACAAGATAAACCTGCGGACAAGACAGAATATAGACATTACAAAAAATAAACAAATATTTTAAATCAAGTGAATGCGCTGTACAGTCCCGGGCCTGTTATGGTAGAGGCTTCAAGTATACAAAGAAATATAAATATAGTCCAAGTCCAAGAACTCAAATATTTGCATATAGTTTTCATTCATAAATTTTATTACTTTAAGAAAAGGAGTCTAAAAGTATGCTTGTTTCCATTAACTGAGAACTTAGTAGATAGACCAAATTTGAGGGAGTTAGCAAATAAAAACTGATGTCTGCATTCCCGATAAAAGCAATCGAACATCGATTATGTATTCAAATAAATATCGATATTAAATGTTATACATTTAGGGATATATCAAGTGTCAATCAAGTGATCTATGAAATATAATGCTGTAATTAAATCTACACATCGTTAAAACAACCAAAGAATGTAATATCATTTATTAGTCCTTGGATGATAAGTTCTAAGAGACTCATACTATGGAGTTTTGTGAAATTTCTGATTTTATGTTTATTTCTTAGAGTCTACGACTAAGCTATGTCCAGTTAAAGAAATATCAAATTAATGATTAAAGAGACTTTCAGTCGTTTAAAGTCCGTAATTTGCTGGTTGTCCAAAATATGTTTTAGTTTGCAACAAAAATAGTGCAAATGATGTATAAAGCATCAATGGTACCGCAGAAAGGGGGTCGAAGATATTTTTTCAGTCCAATGTATTGAGGCTTAATATGATTCATAGCGAAGGTTGTCTCAGTTCAAATTATAAACAGTACTCATTAAACCCCTTTTCAAAACTTTTCTACATCAATGCGTAAATTGCATCAATAAATTAATAATAACCATATCGATCGTCC